TTGGTTAGATCACCTCTAACTCAATTCTAAGTGGGTGGTCATGGCGTCTTGCTAGAGGCTAACCATGACTTGTGGTTCGGGAAAGGTTCCTAAAGTCACTACCACTTAGAATGGGCCTACAGGGTCACACACCACTAGGGGTTATCTACGGTTTCCTAGCATGCGATCATATCGATCTAGGGTTTGGTTTACTAGGTTTCATGCAGCGGAAGAAAGATCTAAACCTAGACAAACGTCACACGCAACCAAACTTTCATACCCGAAAGATCGTGTATATCACCGAGGAAATCGTTACTTACCTCGTTCTCGATGAGACTTGAAGTTTATTTCGATCCGGGGCCTGTTCTAAATCGCCTAGGACTGAAGTTACAGTCCCTCTACACGTATCCACACCGACGGGAAGGATTCCAAACGATTTGGAACGAATCTGCTAGGATTAGTGAAGAAAAGGGTAACTCAAGAGACGAGATCCAATCCCGGGACCATAGAAATCGAAGAGAACAGGTTCTCTAGGGTTCTAGGATGTTTCTCTGAGTTTTAGGTCGGCCTTCATTAAGTTTGGACGAAATCCCAAACTTAAATAAGCTTAGAAAACCCTAAATCCGATTTTTAGGAAAGTTCTAGATCCCGGTCCGCCGGACCAGGAGCTTGGTCCGGCGGACCAGGCTTACTCAGCTGCCCTCGGACCGTCTTCAAACGTCACATGCAACCAAACTCGCAAAACCCGAAAGATCGTGTATATCACCGAGGGAATCGTTACTTACCTCGTTCTCGATGAGACTTGAAGTTTATTTCGATCCGGGGCCTGTTCTAAATCGCCTAGGACTGAAGTTACAGTCCCTCTACACGTATCCACACCGACGGGAAGGATTCCAAACGATTTGGAACGAATCTGCTAGGATTAGTGAAGAAAAGGGTAACTCAAGAGACGAGATCCAATCCCGGGACCATAGAAATCGAAGAGAACAGGTTCTCTAGGGTTCTAGGATGTTTCTCTGAGTTTTAGGTCGGCCTTCATTAAGTTTGGACGAAATCCCAAACTTAAATAAGCTTAGAAAACCCTAAATCCGATTTTTAGGAAAGTTCTAGATCCCGGTCCGCCGGACCAGGAGCTTGGTCCGGCGGACCAGGCTTACTCAGCTCACCTCAGACCGTCTGACTTGGAGCCTTGGTCCGGCTGACCAAGTTTTGGTTAGCTCCGGACCAAGTCTCCTGATCTTCTTTCGGTCCGCCTGTTCGCTCCTCGGTCCGCCTGACCCAGCGTCTGGTCCGAGGCTGACCAACTCTTGGTCAGCCGGACCAGACCTAGACAGATGACCTCGGACTGAGCTTCCGGACTGCCTGGTCTGACCAACACACTGAAAACTCCTTTTCATGTTCGTTTCGATCAAATCTCGTTTCTATTCTTCAGATTCTTCACGTATAAGTCCATCCCTATTGGTGTGTGACCCTGTAGGCCCATTCTAAGTGGTAGTGACTTTAGGAACCTTTCCCGAACCA